CGTGTTTATAGTTCAAAAGAGGCAAAACGCTTGTATTTTGCACTGCTGACCTCTCCCGGCCCATGTGGGGATATAGTTTTCAAGTGGGAGTCCGGTAGAGATTGTAGAGGAAGGGAAGCCAGAGAACGGAGAGAGACGAGTTGTGGATACAGAGGGCAAGAGACAATAAAATGAGACATGTGGTGGATATGAATGAGAGTGGGCTCCGTGACATGTGCATGTGAGGGGAGGAGGAAATCCTAGGGCTCCGTGTGACCGATCTCATTGCCCGATCGGTCGCCCGCCCGATGTGAATCGTTTACTAGTACTAGTACAAATGACCGTGCGTTGCAACGGGCTAAAAATATAGTAAAACATGCTCCGTGTGACAGTAAGTGCCATTTCTTATATCCAGTTTTGATAAACATAGGATATAAGTTTATAATATTATCACTTTTTGGAGTATGACGCGTGGACGTAAATAATCCACCATAATATCTTTCACCTGATTGAAGAGCAGTGGTGCATGGAATAGTCTAGTAATCGGTTTTATCTCTTACTTTTAAGAAAACACAAATATTTCTTTGTTTCAAACTAATTATTCTTTTTGAAACTTTTGATCTTTTTATTAGAATTGAAACATCTTTTGAAGATCAACATTTTATGGAACACATATTTTTAAAATATGATTTTATATTTTTTTGGATCAATTTTAAATGATTTTGTTAAAAAAATTCGAACATTTTTGTGGGAGTGTTCTGCATTTAAAAGAAAAACGTGAACATATTTAAAACATGAATTTTTTTAAAGCAAGAAGAATTTGAAACACTTTTTATCTTAAAAAACACACACAAGCTCGGTATCCACAATAAAAAAAAGGATTGTTAGTATAAAGTTGGGAAAGTCGTCGGGATGTCCTTTGGTGGCTCCTCCTTCATATTAACACTATCATCGGGTGGAAGAGGAATGGTGTGAGTGTTTTTCGCGGGATTTGCAGACACTGAAATTGTTGTATACTATTTGAGAGTTTAATAACTAATTCAAAAGTATTTTCTTATAATTTCAAAAGATTTTCAATGCAAATGAATTTATTTTGGATGGAAGGGTACTGGTGCATTGAAGTGGGATTGTTTATATACATTATTTGTCGATATTCGAAAACAGACATGTTTTTACTATGTTGATTTTTTAGAATATGTTGGTTGCTTGGTTTGCAAGAATATATTCCGTTCCTTTTCTTTTGCACTGTTTAAACTTGGCCCGAAGACCGAACAGCACGCACTCCCCGTCATCACCATAAAAATGAAAACTTTTCTGGTAGGTGCTCATTTAGGATAATTTTTTTTGCAATCGGTAGCACAATATAGGTACAAGACAACTCTATGTTCTGTGAAGGTTTTTGTTCCTTTTCTATGAACTTTTATTTTCGAGATCACAGTCACATGAATATCAGCACATGGCTTACTAAGTTGAAACTGTTACTATCAGAGTGTAAGGCAGTACGATCAATAATCACAGTGGACCAATGTGAGGAGGTGACACCTAGCAGATAACCATTTGTTGGAAAGCCAAGAACAATCGCACATAAATCCAATGTAATTCGGTGCATCCAGTAGCTTCCAGCAACAACGATTGATTTAGAAAAAACAATAGGCAGTAAATCCCCACCGAGCCGCACAACATGTCCCTTATCCACATAGCATCTCCATTCCTACGCCTCCATCTTCCTCCTGCTACCTCACACCACCAAGCGATGCTCCTCCTCTTCTCTGTCCAGCGCGCCCACACACAGCTTGGCGTAGCCCCGCTGCGGCGACCACCACCGGATCCTCCCCTCCATGCATACCCAACTCTCCCATGTTGGCG